TATATATATATATATATATATATATATATATATACAGGTTATATCCATTACATTCACTTACGTGCTAATAAACTTGGAAAAGGTGTGAATCCTATTCTTCTCCCTCCAGCTATAAATAAATAGTAAATAGCAGGACAGACTGGGTTCTATAGCCTTGGATGGCAACTGGTCTAGGAGAAGGACAACTCTGAATTCAAAACCTGAGGGGGGTTGTTTGGGGACCTTGTGGCACGTAGTGCACCAGGTCTCTGTATTCGTCCCTTCAAAAAGTGTGGATGGTCCTGCACGAGGCCTTCACCACTATAATCAAATTCCATGTGCCGGTGTCGGGCTGTCGGTTTCCTGGAAACTGATCTTCTTGACCCTCATACGTCGAATCTCGACGGGAGAGTCGATTTTTTTTTTATATATATACGTGACAACGTGGAAAAGATTTTTAAGAATACTTTTCGCCGACGTGTGTTAGGTTCGGCTGCATCAGGCTGGAATGAAAGATAACTCTCTGTATAAGGAAAATGCGTAGGGATTTTTGTGGATAAGAGAAGGAATAAATTATCTTATCAGATCTGAAAACTCAAGACCTAAATGTGTTTTTCTTTTCTGTTTAAACACGAAAAAAATCAGAGACCAGAAACTTTTTTTTTAAATGAAATAACAGATTGTGCTCTGTGGCCATCGTGTGTGATAAGGAAATTGAATTTATTGCTCCCCATATCCTCAAAATTACCAACGTTTTCTCTTTACACACAGTTTTATCTTTCTTTCCAATCTGAAGTAGCCTGACCTAACACACATCGGCGAAACGTGTGATTAAAAAGATTTTCCACTTTGTCCTATTATATCCACTTTTGTTTCGGATACCATTCTACATCCTACTAAGACACACACACACAATACCGCCACCAACTCCTCTCTTTGACTACTCTTTAGCAGCAGACTGGGACTTTACAGCCGTCTCCGCCACCGTCATCAGAGGGGGAGAAAGAAATAAGGAGAGAAGATGACGACCCCAATGCTCAAATGCGAGCGGATGGCGACTAATACAATTACTAATAATATGAAAGCAAACAGTCTCAGGATTTCAGTTTTGGTTTAACTTTGTCCTTACCAACAGTATTTGTTATGTTAGCGATTCTCTAAGCGTAAATTAGATGCGGCACAAGGTCGAAAGTATGGAACACCCAGTGAGAATCGAACTCACTATTCAGTTGTAATTAATCTAAGCTTGTTAACCATTACACCACGTTGAAGTGCACGTACTTTTTTATTTATGATCACTAGAATGTACCTGCTTTTTGAAGCACATGTCGATACCAGTATACATTTGCAGTTATCAGAATATGTAATAAAAATAAACACATATCATAACCTTGTATTAATCGGAAAATCATGATCTAGACCTATTTTCCGATATTTTTGTCTGCTGTACCCACTTTTTTGATAGGAATTTACCCAAAAGAAATCTAAATACATCAAGATCTTTTTCAGGGAATTTTATTTGTTAATTGCAGACCAAGATATCTAAACTTCTATTGTTCAAATTAGAAATGTGATTTTTTTAAAATCTTCCTCTGAAGTACAAATAATATTAATACAGTTCCATAACTGAACTGAAAATCATCCAGGGGTCTCAAATACCATAAATGGCCACTTGAATCTATTATGCGCACCCACTATGTTTTGACGGGTCTAAATTCGGGGAAAGCTGTATAAGTCCACCTCAACTGAATGGTTTGAACAGGGTTAAGAAATAAGCGAGTGAGTGAGAGATTTTATTCTTGGTTAAGCCGCCGAGGGTTTGAGCAGGGGAAATAATCTTTTATTTTATTTTGCCGAATGAAAATTATTAGTCATTGACATGCGCAAGGACAGTATTTTACGACATCTACGCAGCTCATGTCGATTTCATACGGGCCTTGTCTTGTGGCAAGGACAAACTTCTTTTGCTTTTTCCAATTAGCCCCATGTTGGCCTTTCTCTGTATCTTATTTGAATATGACATGCGCACAAAATGTGCAATCTCACATCTCATCCGAACATAACTTCCGGCGATACATGATCTGTTTGCACAAACACCATACACTCAATATGTTTGTATTTTTAATTAGAAAAAAAAATCCTCTAAAAAAACTTTTTTTTTCAATTTTCTTACTTTCAATAAAGGAAATAAATTAAAAGATGAAATACTTATGAGAAATTTTAACTTCTCTCAAACAAAACTACTCTCTTTTAATCTTCTTCGAGAACCAGTTTGCCTTCCATCAGCATGGCTGATGCTAACCTCCGGGAGTTTAACTCATTGAACCTTCTTAGTCTAGCGTTTCCGCTTATATGAAGGGGAAAATTGACTCAATTGCTAGGTCTACTACTAGGAAAACGGGGTCAGAGTATCGCGAGAAACAATTTCTCCGGCGAGAATTTACCTTACACATTTATAAGTTTACCATTCGTAGATGCTTAGAATATTGCTATTATATCTTTTCTGGTGTCTCTGTTATGTATTTAGAGATTTTAGATTAAAGACATTGTTGTGGTAGGATCCACCTAATTTTCATAGTGGAGTACCGACCATATAAATATGGTTGGTACCGGGAAGAGAAGGGAAGGAATCAAGAGATTCAATCCAGAGACTCTGCCCGACTGCGACTAAGTCAACCCATTCTCCAGGAACGGTCTTCCCAAGAAGATACAAAAGACTATATGTAAATATTGTGTACACTTTCTTGTTTCAATACATTTTGTTCTAAGTACATTTTGTGTTGTATTATAATTCCATGCATTAGTCAAGTTTCAACATACATAGAAGAAAATGCAATATTATTAATCCTGACCTGGCATCTTGACTTCAGTCACATTCTCATAGCCGTAACATAGCTACCCACTTGCTTTTTTCTATGGATGTTTCCATAGTAATTGTTCTGTTAAGCTGTCTTCTTTGGTCCTTCAAATTTGCGAATTTAAGCTTAGTACCAGGTTGACAGCTAGGTCTCATCATTTTACAGGTGAAATGGCTAGGCGTAAACGTAAATTCTATGCTAACAGTTTCTTCTATCGCACTTCTTACTTGTGGAATTCACTTCCGGCCGCTTGCCTTCCCGTCAACTTTGACCTTCAAACATTTAAATGCAATGTCAATTGTTATATTTTGACCTTCTTAATTCCTTTTTATTTATTGTTCACTTTCCTTGATTTCTTTTCCTTTTCTCATATTCATTCACACTCAGTAACTTCATGGGTATTAGTGGCGTTATTGCTTTGAAATAAAGAAAGAAATATTTTGATTCAATTGCACCAACAAATCGCTGATACGACTAACTAGGTAAAAAATATGATAATTAGTAATACTCTGCCCTCGTTTGAAATTCATAAAATATTCCTATTAAGACTATTTTCAGGAAAATAGGTTCTTGAATATATGGAACATCAGTCGCCATGTTCTGTCTTTCTGGAACCTGTTCCCTTGTCCTTTCTCCTCACTAACATTTTAGCATTTTCTTTAACACTGAGTAACCCCTTGCGTCTTAGTGGCTTTATCACCCTGTTTGAAGTAAAATTAAAAAAAAAAAACATGCAGCTGTGTTACTGATAATATCTCTTCCCGATCAAGAACCAATAAAGAAACAATTCATTTTATCAACCGGTCAGTTGATTCGATTTTAGGAAATGGTTCAGGTCGAGGACTTATCAGCATCTCCTTTATATTTCCGTAATTAAGATAATTTTCGTTGCACAAACCGGAAGTGCTCTAAGATGGAGATATTTTTAAATGGCGGTGTATAAGTCTACCTGGTGTACAAGTCGACTTGAAAATTTTTAACTCAAAATTCTGAGTTAGACCTTTACTACCTTATCGGTCGACACCCCACCCCACTCCAAAAATAGCTGACAAACAGTATTTGGTGATAGATTTTGAAGGATTTTAAAAATGTGATCATAGAAGGTTTTATTCTGAATAAAGTAATAAGTTTTAAGCTGTAACCTTGTAGTTGAAATTTTTAAAATGCCGTATGTATGCGTTACCTTAATATTTTGAAACTCATGTGATATCATCAATGCAATATGGTAACTTTTAATCATCAGTGGAATATGGTAACTTTTAATCATCAGTGGAATATGGTAACTTTTAATCATCAGTGGAATATGGTAACTTTCAAGTAACCTTTAAAATAATGTTGTACTATAATTGCACAGTAATTATGCTTTTACAGTATGTCTATATTCAATAAAGTGTCATTAGACTTTCATTACTATCATGAAATTGCGCAGATGACACGCGTACCATACATAGTTGTCTGAATGGCCGCATGAGTTAAATGGCGCTTCGGTCAGTATTTACACTTAGCTGTTGGATGTGTTGCCCGCTGTAGAATGCTGAATTTGTGTTACTATTTTAATATTTTATATTAATTTCTGTGTTAATTTATCAAATATGTTCTAAACACAAGTTTTATTGGGATATATATTTGCGACAGGGGCACCTCGAGTTGGTGTAATGGTTAGCAAGCTTGTCTCGCTAGAACTATTACAACTGAGTAGTGAGTTCGATCCTCACTGGGTACCCCATACTTTCGGCCTTGTGCCACATCTGAGCTACGCTTGGAAAATCACATATATTTGTAACAGCCCGTTGGTGATACGGTAAGTGGTGTACGGTAAATTTTAGGGGCGCTTGTCCACTTGTTTATGGTGGTAATGGCTTGAATTTTATACCTGTCATATAAATCGACCCCTAGTTTTGGAAAGTATTTTTTAGGTTTGAAAACTCGACTTGTACGCAGCAATTTAATGAATGGGGAAAGATATTTGGTGAGAATAAAAATTAATTTTCCATTTATTTGGAAGATTTTTGCACTTATTAGTGTCTATCAGCATTTTTTTTTCTTTTGTAAAAAGCCTGTTCAAGAAGATGCTTATGGATTGCTTTACATTTTGTTATTTTCAAGGTCATGTGCATGGAAGATTATGATATCATTGACTTAGAACATGAGGCTCTTGTTCTAATGGTGACAAGCACATTTGGAAACGGAGATCCACCAGAGAACGGATGGGTGAGTAAATGTTTATTATCATTCTTTCTTTCACGTGTCGAGCCACTCAGGTCGTTAATGGTCATGGCTCTTCACAGCTTCCTAGCCTTTGTAGCTGTAGGAATCGTTTATCTTTTTACTACTCTTCTCACTCCCTGCTCAGTCATCAATTCACACAACTTCGTTAAATAATTTACTCACTGTTTTACATTACCCGTCTTGCCTTCAGTGTATCCTGCGTGTGTCCAATTCTCTAAACCTTCTTCTCTCATTATGTGTCCCAAACGTTTTAAATCTCTATTTCTTAGTGTTCTTTATGTTCCCTTTTTCCAAAAACATTTTCTCCTTGCCCACATCTTTCGTTTATTATTTTTCGGCATCCTTCCATTTCTTCCATTATATCTCTAAAGAAATTACCCAGCATTCACTACCATATGGAAAGATATATATTACACAGTGGTTCATTACTAAATGCTTATATATACACATTCCCTGCCCAAATCCACTGTGCCATTTCTTCGTTTAATAATGCTTGTTAACGTAAATGTGATGATCCTTTGATCACGCTAACCATGACGATCTTACAGCATTGTACGTTGTCCAATACAACCTAATTTGTTTCACGGAATTGTTTATATGGTATTTTAATCTAATGCAATACTTTGTGTTACAGGCTTTCGCCGACGCTCTTTACGAGATGCGGCACCCGAACGGCGTGTCTGAGTAAGTAATATTTATTTATTGATAAACAAAACTAATACTAGTGTACTTTATTGTTCGTTGATAGATGTTTTAATTTGGCTATTCTGTTTAAAACGGGGAATGCTAGACAAAAGCTTAAATTTAACTAATCCTTTGCTGAAATAGTTCATTAAAATTTATTTTCATTCTAAATAAGAATTTCTTTTTCTTCGTGTATACCAGTTTATATTTAATAATAAACTCTAATTAAAATAAATTCATTATGTCTCCTTTATTTTTTTTTAAAGTTTCAATCATTGTGCCACCGTTTCTTCTTCAGATGTCTATTATATTCGGTAACCTTCAAGGAATATCGAAGGCTTCAAATAAATGGCCATGTTTGACATATTGAAGTTTATCAAATACGGCATATCTCAGGAAGTTTGGTGGTTACAGAAGTCGAACTGTTACTATAACAAATCAAATTGGAAATAGATTTTACCTTTTCTATGTGCCATATGAATTAAAAAGACAGAAGATGACAATTGGTATTGTATATAAATGTTGGCAGATCAAAGTTAACTGGAATGAAAGAATCCGGAAGAGAGTTCCACAAGCGAGAAGTGTTAGCATAGAATTTACTGTTACATCTAGCAATTTCAACTGTAAAATGATGAGACCTAACCGCCAATCTAGTACTTAAATTTGTAAACTCTATGTACTAAAGAGGAAAGCTCACCAGAACAATTAACATGAAAGTATTTATATAAAAGGCAAAGAGAAGATATGTTACACTGGTGGGAAGGTGATCTATAACATTGCAGATTCTTCTGTCTTTTATCAAAAATCTCTGAATACATATGCTATGTATTCAGAGATTTTTGATAAAAGACAGAACCATTAGACCAGATTTGGCTCCATTGTTACTTCATTGCATCTGCAAATGGCAGATTTATAAATTTGTAAGATAGATTTTGGCGAGTGTAATTCTAAAAACAAGAAAGGCTACATTGATTGTGGGATAAATCTTTAGGGTATGAATGAGATACGGGTACACATAGAACATTCATCTTCTTTTGCTTAAAAAAAATGAAAAGAGTTAAGTAATTAAGGTTTAAAGAGAGTAAAATATTGACTGAATGAAGTCATGCTTTCACGAAACTGAAATTTTCGTAAACAATTAGTCACTGAATTTAGTCTGATGAACACAAAATATTGACTATTTTGAAAACTGTTCATAGGCTATAATCGTATTTTGTGCAGGCCTTGTTTAAAGAGACTACGCCGAAGTGGGTAGTCTAACTCACGGTAATTTTTGGGAAGCTTCATATATATCCTTTATCAGATTTTATTTTTTTAATTATTTCACCTCAGCAAGGAGAAAATTCTAAGACGCAAGAGGTTACTAGGAGTTGAAGAGAATGTGAATACTTTAGTGAGGTGTATACTTTAGAAAAGACAGTGCCACTCACAACTTAGTATGGAGAACCGTAATAATAACAACGACAACACAGTTTAGTCTGGTTACTTCCCTGTCGGCAGAAGTGATACTCCTGCTTTTTATCCACACAAAACAATATGGCCGACACGGTAGTTACGGTGGTGAACAATGGTCAGAATACCACTTCCGTTTCAGAATACTACTTCCGTTTCTTTTATTCTCGGTTAAAACAGACAGGAAGACAAAAGTTTGCGATTGATGTTACATTTACATTTTTGAAGATTGTTGGTAGCGGGAAACAAAGTAACTGGAAGAGATTTCCACAGTTGAGAAGTGCGAGAAAAGAAACTACCAGAATACAATTTACGGCTCTCTCTAGCTATTTCAACAGTAAATTGATGAGACCTAGTGGCCAAGGTAGTTGTACGCTTAAATTCACGCGGTCGAGGCACTAAGAAGGAGAGCTCATTAGGCCAACTTCCATTAAAATATTTATGGGAAAGTGAGACAGAGGAAAGCCACGTAATATCGGTAGGAAAGTGACTGAAGTAGAGATGCCAGGTAAGGACTGATTACATACCAGACCCATCTTTGGATTCCGTCTAGAGTCTAAAGATATACATCACAAGGTCCAAACCAGATATGGTAGCAATCTCCAATGAACTGACGAATGGTAGATTTATAAATGGGCAAAATGGATTCTGACGAGAAAAATTGTTTGGCCCGACACAATAAACCAAGATTCCTTGAAGTAGACCTAAGAGAAAATATCTGTCTATATTTCTGAGATGAGGTATTGTAACTATTTACACTATTTACATTGTTTGGGCTGCTGTACACATCTTTATTGTCATATTCACGACGTTTCGGCCGCTGTATATGAGGAAAACACTCCGAAAAATGTAAATAGTCTGGAAAAGCAAAATGCTTCTGTTATGGGACCTTACCCATAATAACATAATAGACTATTCCATACGTAATAAATACTGCGCCTCAAAAGGAAGCAAGGAGTTCAGTCCGAAGACTCTGCCTTCGGGCGGGGAGGAACCCGAACGAGGCTACGCCGAAGGGCGGAGTCTCTTTCGGGGAGGTAAAAGGGCATATTTTTAGCCGAGCACACGGGATCGGAGATCCAACGTTAAACCGGCCTTGTGCCACATGATTCCCTCGTGGGGGGTGACTAAATATTGTTCACTCAGAATTCTGGAGTGAAGTCCGTCAGGAGTCTGTCAGTCAGTCAGAGCGAGTCAGTCAGTCGAGTCAGAGGCAGTCCGAAACAGAGTTGCATTCAGACAATTACTACTAAACCTGATTGTTCGTACTAACACTTTCTACTTCTCTGTATATATTCCTGTTTGTAATATATCTGTGTTATTCCATAGTCGTATTCGAGTTCTTCTTTATTGATTCTACCTTAAACTATCACCGTGGTACAAGGAACCGGACCATAACAGCTTCATAAATGATTCCTCAGATTATTGTTACCGTGGCGTTTGTTGTGAAAAAGCTGTTTATACATTCTTTTATAATTTGAAAAATCTTGATCAACTGTTTCTTTTTTTATTTATTTTACAGACCCGAGATACAGAAAACGTCTTATATTCGAATGAGTGTGTCAAGTGAAACCGATATTACCATTAAGGAAGATATAAAAGAGGAACAAACATTACAGATGGAATCGGGCCCCTTAGGAAATGTCAGGTAAATTTGCTTTTCCGTATACTCAATCACTTCAGAAATCGTTATTACAGATTTCCTAAAGTAAATCCGTGAATTTCATATCTATTATATAAGGACACCTAAAAAATTCATTGGCATTTTTTACAACGTGGGAACAAGTGATATGCAAATGAGTGCGTCGCGTGCATGGAAAACGGTTGGGTGGGGGTAGTATGGTTTACAATGATCCTGACTAATGCAGATGCGTTGCGTACACATATCAGTCATAGCTCGAGAAGCACGGAGGAAACATGGCGGTGTCGAAGCAGTTCATTCGGGGTTGTTTGCTTTATAACTTTCTGGTGGGTTTGTCCGCAGCCGTATCAAGTCGACGAATACATTAAAGCCTTTGGAGATAATGCTATGAGTGAAGCATCGCTAGGCATTGCATCCAGAATTTCAGGTCTGGGGATCCGTTCCTTTGAGAGAAACCTCACAGTGGCCGGCCACAGGTCCGGGATGTTGAGGCTCTGAAGGCGGACAAAGAGGAGAACAACAGCCAAACTCGTAGTGAGTTTGCCGAACGCTTTCAAGTTTCGGATGAAACAGTCATACTTTACCTGCACCGCATAGGGAAAGTATACAAATTGAGCAAGTGGGTACCAACAAGCAACAGCGAGTGACAGCCTGTTTCTCGTTACTTTCTCAGCACAGCATTGTACTCATATTTGTTCAGGTGTTCACCAGTGACGAAAAGTGGGTCCTGTATGACACTCCTAAGCGTGCCAGACTGGTTGCCGCCAATTGACCGTATACCTCACACCACAAGATCACGTCTACACTAACGCAAGATCATACTCTGTATCCAGTGGACTAGTAGGCAAATGGTACGCCTTGAGCTGCTACCAACGGACCAAACCATAACTGCGGATCTGTCGCAGCAGTTGCAACGTGTACCACAGGCTTTGAAGCAGCACTTGGTTAATCGCAAGGTCGTACTGTTCCTCTATGAAAATGCCACGCCTCATGTGTCGCGGTTGGCCAGGGATACCATACGGCAAATTGGTTGGGAGACACTGTGTCATCTATCTTACTCCCTGGACTTTGCCACCTTTTTCCATTCCCTTAATGGGAAATCCGTTGCAAATTAGGCTTTGCGTCCAAGACATCTGATTTTTACCGCCAGGGCATGGCACAGCTAGAGGCACGTTGGCAAAAGGTTCTGGAGGCCAATGGAGATTATTCTGGGGACTAGCTGAAGGGAATTTCTTCTTATTCGTTGGGTATCTGCCAACGAAGAGGAACGTGAAACTCAGCAGCACTGGAATCAAACACTGGATCACGACAAGCAGTTCATGGACAAGACTTCCACATGGGAACACTGCACGTCGGAGACGAACGCTGCCGAGACACCGGAAATGCAAACTAAAAGACGAACTAATTTGAAACGACGCTAGGAAACGCGAACAAAAATCCTTGGTAACGCACGGCAGTTCAGTTGTGTGGTCAACGCGGATTACTACCAATATATTTCCAGATAATTTACGTGCTTTTATGGAGCCTAAAACTTTAGCGGTTGGCTAGTAAAGAAATCATTTGCATAGCTAACGCCGCTCATCACACCGCATCAGCTACCTTATGGAAAAGCTGGGAATCACTTTCTTTCTTCATAGAAAGACGTTACGGGGTTCGCAACGGCTCTGTTCTGGCATGGGAACCTTGCATTGTATTTCTGTAGATACAGTAGACTAAAGGACGTGGGCGGATACCGTTTTCAGTAGCAATTGGCTGCTCCGTCTGCATTTCGTTTCCGCTACACTAACTGTATGTCAAATTTGCTGTACACGCCTTTTTCTAATGAATAAAAAACGATAAAAACTTTTTGTTACCTCGTACGAAACTGAAATGATAACAAAATGTATCTTATTCGAGTGTAGTCACATCTTTGTGCCTATAAGTTTAAATTGGTGAAATTACATTTCCCTAAATTTATATTATTTTTTCATATTACTAAATGTAAATTAATCTTTCTTTCTTAAGCATTTTTAAGCATTCGAAACCGTGAGGGCTATATTCGTTGATATGTGGTCCAAGAAGATTATATTGGTACATTCTAAACAGGAAGAGATCTTCATTTCTTTACTTTTTTTTTTCTTGCTGTCAGGTACTCTGTTTTCGGGCTTGGGTCACGTGCGTATCCCAACTTTTGCGCCTTTGGTCATTTTCTCGACAAAGTGTGCAGCGAATTGGGAGCCGAAAGAATTTCACCAATGGTCGAAGGGGACGAACTATGTGCTCAAGAAGAATCATTCAAGGAATGGGCGAATGCCGTCTTCAAGGTGAGGACCTTTTCCCTCTGGATAGGCTTGCACTAACAGACGCCTTTACGGGCACAAACACACGCACTTATGCGCACAGAATCACACATCTTTTCCCTACGGTTCCTTTTATTATTCGTTCAAACCTCTCATATATATATATATATATATATATATATATATATATATATATATATACATACATACACTAGTCTCTCTCTTCCCTGTCACATGTTCCTTCAAAACCTATTTTATCATGGCTCTCTGTGGTTTGATTTATTATTTTCATCATTACTTGCACCTTTACCCCTTCTCTTTTTTTGTGTGGTCCGCATTGCCTCATCCAAATTAAAATTTGTCAAGTAACTTACTCAGTTGTTTCCTCTGCTTCTCTCATATATATCCCGTCAGTGTTTAATTCTCTAAACCTTCTTTCCTCATTATTTACATTATTCGGACTATTGTCCTCATCTTTGTCGCCATATTTATTACAACATTTCGACCGTTGTACGCTCCGGCCGTCTTCAGGTGGTTGGAATGTCGAACTGAACCCTTTATTCCTCTCACTGGGGTAGACTGTTCTAGTTCCACGTGCCATGTTTTTGATGGATGTCAGTTATCAGTTATCTCCTGTTAATTTCCCTCTGAAAGTTCTTCACTGCCTTAACCGGGTATTGAACTCACACTCTTTGGGTCCTGTCACTGGATCTAACCATCGCCTTTTTCCCTTGTGCCATGTGTCCTGAAGAAGGCCGGAGCGTACAATGGCCGAAACGTTGTAATAAATATGGCGACAAAGATGAGGACAATAGTCCGAATAATGTAAATAATGTGCATAGTACCTCATCTCAGAAATATACACAGATACATTTATAATGTGCATAGTACCTCATCTCAGAAATATAGACAGATACCTTCTTTCTTGATTATGTTTTCCCCAAAATTTCAGGTGATTTTCATTATTAGCATCAACAGAAATGTAGTTCTTATTCTTTAAATTTATTCCTTTTCACATATATCCATAGTAATCCAAAACATTTTCAGCAAAGAAGCAGCTCCGTCAATTCAACACTTTCTTTCTTGTATGACGAAGGTATTTTCAAGTGTCTTTGTCTGTGAAAAGATTATCCATCATTCATTGTCATATAGGAGATTAGACATAACATATCATCCCAGAATTTTTCTCTTTGTCCCTAAGAGATTTTTCGATTTCTTTATATCTTGCTCGGTTTCTGAAAGTGATTTTACACCATTCAAATGCCACAGCGCGGACCATCCCTATTCAAACCTTTTGAATTGGCACTACATAATCACAAACAAAGAACCCTACCAAATAACAGAAACGACATCATTTAGAATTCTCAACAAGAGGAATAACAATAATGGATAGCACATGTAAGCTGAAAAAAAAATAATGACATAATCAAGATGCTGACATTCCACACAACTTCAAATAAGAAGGAATGAAATCCCCAGCAATACAGGAAAGAGCGATAACAGCGACTAGACTTGAGAAACCTATTTTGTTGAAAAATTGTTTTAATAGAAAGATTTTATAATTCTAACAGAAAGTGGTACTGGCTGCTCGGTCAATAAATGCCAAATATTGCCTTATAAGGAAACGGTTAATATTATCATTATCATTAGAGATGACGAGAACAGATGCTACACTTGGTATTTACTCATTCCTCCACAGTGATGTGTTATGGCACAAGACCGGTTTAAAGTGGGAAGCCCAAGCGCATACACACAGGCCAAATCCAAAACGTGCCTGGTCCCTGCAACCAAAGTCGCGCTGGCTTCGATATTCCACCGGCCCTGCCGCAGAGTTAGCACCCCTGGGGTCAGACATTCTTCATTTATTTGTTGTATTCCGTCTGAAGTGAGAAACACATTTTAGAGATAAAATGTAGTTCATCCGACTGAAGGCAGATACTACACTTTGATCTCAGCCCGATGGCCAGGAGGCGAAGAAAATTGCGTAGTACTGTCTGCTCGGTTAATAAATGCCGAATATTTCTTTATAAAGAAACGGCTAAAATGACAATTATCATTTGCATTTGTGTTCACACACTGCGTTGTTTGGTATTACACAACTAAAAATGTTAAATTCCTACACCAGCTTGATTTTCATGTCCCTGATGTGCAACTCACACCTCTTGCTGTCCCTTTTGCTCTGTCTTGTATCTCATAATTAATTATTTCTGCTAGTTTTCACCGACTGCAGCAGTGCATGTTTGTTTTGTCTGACTAATATGTAGTTAAAAATGTAAAATGAAAATCTTATATTATTTTGTCGATATTCATTTTAGTGAATATGCAAGGGGTGTAATGGATAACGATCCAAAATGAGAAATCGGAGAGCCGATTTCAAATTCTAGTCGGGTTCATTACATTCACTTACGCGCAAATAATGTTGGGAAAGGTATGGATTAACTATCCGGACGGATTGGGTCCTACAGCATTGGTTAGCAGTCAGTCTACCGCAAAGACTAATGGCAGCCTACTGAAGGAATTCCTCTGCTTAATTAGTAATGAACTGAAAGATACATGATCAGCCAAGCGTGTAAAATAAAAGTAGAACGATGGGGATTCGCCAGAGACCAAATAGCACCGCTGGCAAGTCAAAATATTGTGAAAGAGGACAAAATGAAAACAAAGTGCGCATTTCCAAAAGAGGAACATTACGAAATTAATGTCATTTTGTGTTCAACACATAAAGTAGCAAAACCATTAATAGCATTTCTTCTTCTTCTTCTTCTTGTATTTCTTCTTCTTCTTCTTCTTGTATTTCTTCTTCTTCTTCTTCTTTTTGTATTTCTTCTTCTTCTTCTTCTTCTTCTTCTTCTTCTTCTTGTATTTCTCTATCTCTATCTCTTTCTTAATTATTTCTTTCTTTCTTTATCCTGTTCTTTCTTTTCTTCTCTCAACCCAGTTTTTCTCTCTTCCTTCGGTTCTTCATGTCAAAATTATATTTGTTGTACTTTGACACGTCCTTTCAAGACATAGGCGATCATATCTCTCCACATCTTTTTTCTTTTTCTTTGTCAGGTTCCTTCAAGACATAGGCGATCATAGCTCTCTACATCTTTCTTTTTTCTTTGTTACGTCACTTCAGACACAGGCGGTCATGACTCTCCACAACATTCTATTGCATGTGGCTTTAGCAGTTTTTTCTCCGTTTGGCAAGGCCCCTGTTTCCGATCATTGATTAAGTTTTCAAAGTCCTCATTATGTGTCCAAGGAATTTCAGTTATCTTTTCCTGATTTTGATTATATGTGTTCTTTCTGTTACCATTTTTCAAAAGAATTTCTTGTTGCTCACTCTTTCGGCCCATGGAATTTTCAGTATCCTTATGGAGAAGCACATTTCTGCTATGAAAAACAACCAAGTGACGAGTTTGATCATCGGTTATAAAATTAAGGTAAAAATACTGTTATAATTATTTTCTTCCTTTTTATTTAAATTATCAGGCGGCGTGTGATACATTCTGCTTGCAAGATGATGTCAATATCCAAGAAGCAACAGGAGCCCTACACGGCAACGATCAGTCTTGGTCACTGGGAAAATTCCGATTAACACCGCAAGATGGCGTCAAAGAAATGGAGATTTCTGCTGGTAAGATAATTGTTGCCAATTTTATCTGCCTGGAATTCATTATATAGGGGTCATCGACTTACGACCAAGTCCCGTTACTACGATGCGTCTTAACGCGATTTTCTGTGTAAGTCGAAATGTACCCTCGATTTTCTGTGAACTAGCACACACGTCACTCACTTATGCTGGCACAATAGTAAAATAATAATCTAGGACATAAAAACACATTTATATATGTTAATATAGGACTAAAAAAACATGGAGGACATAAATATAGTATATATAATGAAATGAAAGTAATACACATAATGAAATGAATTTTTTTTTTAGGTTGCTTGCCTATATATTACCAGTAATGACGAAGCGTAAGATCTTGCCAAGAAACCAGCCAATCTTCGTGGCCATTTCTCTTTTTCAGAGCGTTTAATAATGTCTAAAATCACTTCCATCTTAATTGGATTTATTTTCTTCGAAGCACTGCTCTCAGAAGAGGTTACACTACGCTATTGAAGGACAATAAGTTTCCACAAAGACAACAGAAACGAAAGAGGGTGAATGCACAGCAATCCAATATGGCGTACAACTAGGGTCAGACCTATGCCGCCTTTCTCCCTTACTCGCCGCCTATTCTCCCGCCGCTTTTTCTGTTGTATGTACGAGACAAATGGCATAAATCGAAACAAAATTAATGGAGATTGCATCGTAATTAAGAATCGTCGTAGGTCGGAATTGTCGTGTTTCGGGAACTTACTCTAATTTACAAATAGAATAGAACCGACTCTTTTAGGGGAACAATAGGAATGTACTTTTGCTTAAATATAAAAGAAAAAATTTCAGCGTTATTTGACGTGATTTTTTTTTTAAAATATATATCACCCCAAGCAAAGCGATAAAGCCACTGAGATACAAAAGGATACTGAGAATGATAGATAACTGAGAAGATGTTATTGACGAGAAAGATCAATAGAAGAACAGGTTTCAAGGACACGGAAGATGACGATTGACACTACAATTAAATTTTCGTAGTTGACAGGAAAGCAAAGGACCCGAAGAGAGTTCTACAAGTCAGAATGGAACAAACAGAATATATTAGAATAGAACTTACAGTTTAATCTAGCAATTGAAACAATAAAACAATGATATCTATTCGCCAATCTAGTATATATTTAAATTCATGAAGTCTATGTACCAAAAAAAAAAAAATGTGTCCTAAAAATATTTATAGAAAATCCAGAGTACGACGTGAGGAAAGTGATTGAAGCCGGGATAGGCCAATATCGATAATATTGCAGATGAAATTTGCCTGCATACAAATAGAATTTACAATTAAATAATTTTAAATACCATAATTATTTCCAAACAGCATTATTTTTCATTCTATGATCTTCACCAGAAAAGAAGTGGCGATAATTTATCCGTCACGTACTGTTTAAGTGTGACTTTTTATGTTTGTATGTAATATTTCATTACCCCGTCTAACCATTGAGGTGTAATGTGACACAAAGTCGGGCTTAATGTGCCAAAAATTGCCCAGCTCCCGCAGCTGTCGGTTGCGCTGGTATCGATATGACTACTGATCTCCACTCAGATGTCTGTCAAATTTGGTTACATTTAAGAAAAACGAACCTACCCGTTATCCAATTCACGGGAGTTAGCATTTTCTCATTCTACTGTCTTTGCTAGGGAATACATTTTATCAGTTAATTTCTTATATATAATTTCTTATGTGTTTTATTTCCCAATAAAACAAAAAGAACAACAACCAACACAACAACACAACAACAACAACAACAATAATAATAATAATAATAATAATAATAATAATCATTATATAAAAATAATGATAGAATACAGCATACACAAATGAAGAGGAAAAGTAAAATAATACTACAGGCGTGGGAGCCTGATGTTAAATTCCAAGTTGAATTCACAAAACAGAATATTACCCATAAACACTTTGGCTGTCTCTGTTCTGCAATACAGTTTCAACATCCTTAACTGGACCCTAGCTAACATTAAACGAATATAGGTCAAAGCGAGAAAGCTTCTCACTTGCCATCCTATGCATTATTCTAAGGCCGATGTAAATTTTATGTATTTGTCCAAATCCGAAGACAGGGGATTAATTCAACTAGAATTCTTTTACAAACCTACAACAATTGGTCTTCTTCAAAGATACCCCATCAGTTGTTAAGTAGTGCAGGATTTAAAGCCGAACCGAGGGTTTAATTCTTGCTGCACAGGACCAATGCTTGCTAACTAGAAATTTGTAAGCAGACATACTGAAAAATTGTGCTAACCCCAAATGCATATTCTGTAATTAATATCCAGAAACAATTAACTATCTTGTATCAAGTTTCACGGTATTAGAATCCATTGAATATAAAAATTCGACATGATAAAGTGGGCCAATATCTGCACTGGAAAATCTGCAATTTTTATGGGAATGGAACGGCAAGAATTTGGTATGAATTCCAACCAGACCCAGTTACAGCCATAAGTCCTGTAACAATTTCATGGAACTTTACAATCCAAAAGGAAACAATAAAAAAAAATCGGCCAGACATCGTGATCATAGTGCACAAAAACAGAGTGTGCTTTCTTATTTACATGACTCTCCATGTGGACTGTAATGTATCATTGAAGATATTCAAAGATCTATTTAAATACACGGATCTTGATGTGGAAAACTAAAATTGTACATGAGGACATCAATAATATCAGTGGTGGTGGTTGGAGACTCGGATTGATTGCAAATGGTTCCGATAGACTGGTTGAAGGGATACCTAGTAGCCGATTCCTTAAAGAAATATGAATAAAAAAAAACGTACTCACTGGTACAACTCACACATTACGAACAGCTTAATCTATGTAAAATATGTGTGATCTTTTTTTTTACACATATGATCAGTGGAAAATGTCATAAAGTCATTTCTGTTCTAAAGCCTCTGGGTGGAATCCAGAAGTAAATGTGTATACAACAGAATTCAAAGGAAATAATAATAATAATAATAATAATAATAATAATAATTGTGGTGTCCTAGCTCTTAAGACTTTGTGACAACACAATCACTGTCATATAATAATTACTCATGTGAGAAACTGATGCAGAAAGTATTACTTGTTTCCTTCCAGTGACACTCTAGATATCGTTACGTACTCTTGAGATATTATTTCAAAAGTGCTTGAAGACACCTAGCATTAGCATTACGCTTATTCTGTTCGGGTCATCATACGTAAACATTTTCAGCTCTTAATATAGCGAAAACAACTCCCAGGAAATCAATGACTTCCAGCAACACACGTTAAAGCTAAATTTCCGCTGTCCTGCCTCCGGCCAAATACAACTCACAGTAGGATCAAACTCAGACACGGGTAGGGTCTTTTTCAAATACGTAATGCGAGATATTTTTTTTCCCAATAAATCAACAACAACAAATACAATAATAATAATAATAATAATAATAATAATAATAATGAGTAGAAGAAAAAGAATAAGAACAAGAACAAGAAGAAAAAGAAGAATTGGTTCGTTCCTACGGTTTATCGACCCTTTGCATTTAAAGTCCGAAAATATTTTTAGACTTTAAGAGTTTTTCTGGAGATAATAATAATTTACTAGTACAAGTCTTACTAATTAACCAATAGTTGGGAAGAGGGGAGGTGGATTCATGCCTTCCCTGTGAATATAACGAACTCAACGGAAAGTGGAAATCGGCTCTCCGATTAACAATTCAAAGCCATTATCTGTTACACCACCTGCACGTTCACGCTCATAGCAGCTGGTATTGCTAAGCGGTCACCCATCTATGTAATGATAAAGCTCGACGTTGCTCAACTTCGGTGATCGTACGGGAACCGGTGTTTTAACGTGATGTGGCCGTAAGCTCAAGAAAGAAGAGGAGAAGAAAAACAGAAAAAAAAGATATTTGCTATTTGTCCATTGACACAAGAATTGAAAGCAAAGAAAAAAAGAAGATCGACATCGGCAATGATTTAAATGATGAGATTTTGAATGAAAACAAAACTGCTCTCTTTTAATTGTCTCAGAGAATCCGTTTTGCCTTCCATCGACATGGCTGATGCTAACATCCATTGCCCCTTCAGACTAACGATTTCCGCTGACATGAAGTAGAAAGAGTATAGTGAATCAATTTTGTAGTCTTCAGCTAAGAAATTTGCTTCACTGTGTCGAGCTAGACAATTTTCCTCGACAGAATCTATCTTAAATATTTATAAGTCATAAATTCGTTCATACTTCGAATATTTCTGCTACATCTGGTTCAGTGCTTTTGCTATATATTTAGAGATTCTTCATAAAACCCAAAGAAGAAATTACAATGTTATTAGACCTGACCTGGGCATCTCGGATTCAGTCCTTTTCCCACCAATAATTACAATGTTTCAAAATATACACATTTTGAAATTTTGCTATGGACGAGGAAAGAAAATAATTATACTACCAACAATCATTGGAACATTGGGCTATTGTCAAAAAATAAAATAAAATAAAATAAAAAAAAAAAAAAAATATGAATAAATAAAAAAAATGGAAAAATCTTAAAACACTGGGATTTGATTTTGGGACCATTATAAAATAAAATGCTTTGAAAAGTAGTGGATGCAACCTGCCGGTGAAAAGAACAAATTGTCCTGAAAAATAATTCTTGCCAATAACCAAAATCATATGCTGTGCGAAATAATAATAATAATAATAATAATAATAATAATAATAAATAAACAAAATGAATGACGAAAAGTGACCTAAAATAAACTCCTTCCTAGCAACCAACATTTTATGTTGTTCGAAAGCGAAATAATAATAATAATAATAATAATATCCGTGCTGCATCGGCAGAAATCGCTCTATACTCTATTTCTAGGGATGGTAGCTCGGAAAAAATACGCTGGTTGGTGATTGATATGAGGATTGAATGCAATATCAAATATCAATTAATCAATAACAAAGTTGTCCCGCCCATTAGGTGCCTCATGTGTAAACTGCATAAACCGGAAACCCAATCCTAAAGAGGAAACAGGGGATAAACCTCTAACCCTGTTAAAAAAAAAAAAGTCGAATTTACTGCTTATAAACTTCAACTTTCCATGAATCTCTCACGTACATTCATAACTGCTCATGGCGTATCAAATGTAAACAAATGACGTCACACATTATGCAATGGACAAAGTCCGACAATTATTTAAAGACATTTTTATGTTTAAATAATTGCCAACCGAACGATCCTTTGTGGCCGAGAGGTAAGGCACGTCAGGCTATATGACGGTTCCGCATAGGATACAGGTTCTAATCCTGTCGAATATTTTCTATGAAAAATTTCTCGGACATTCAGGCCGGTAAATGTTATTTAATACTGTTTATTATAAACAGAGCATTTGCTTAAATATTTGTATCTATAAAAAGAATGTTACACATAAAAATATCTTTAAGTAATTGTCGGACTTTGTCCATTTCATAATATATATGTATGTATACTAACATATATGGCTTTTCATTATTTTGAAATCTGTACAATTGGCTATTTTAATGATTTAAAGAGTGAATGTTACCCCAGACACAACACTAAATAAACTTTGTAATATTCTACATTAATTCCCATTCTATATTTCAGCTCTCTCTGGCTTGCACGGCAAGAATATAATGAACGCAACTGTTATAGAAAGGCACAATCTCCAATCACCAATATCGGAGTAAGTATATTAAACTAAAATCCGAATGATTAATTATGTTACAGTTTCCCTAAACTAATCGCACTGATTTCCCCGCCTCATAACTGGGACAATTAGGATATGATAGGTGCTTGCAGATGTAACAATCATTATGGGACAAAGGCAACTGTTTATTTCCACCGTCCCATAATATTTGGCTTATTTAGAGGCAGAAATTTGAGTGCAAATGTAACAATTATTATGGGAACGAATCACTTAATCTTTCGCATCTACTACCCCCGTCCCATAATGCTTGATGCATTCAGAGTATGAAATGTATGTGGACAGAAGGAGTTAGTCTTCTGCATTTACTACACACGTCCCATAATGTTTGCTACATTTAGCGTATGAAATATGTGTGGAAATGTAACAATTATTATGGCACAGAAGCAGTTAGTCTTTCGCATATAAGACCTCCACCTCATAATAGTTGCTACGTTTAGAATATGAAATATGTGTGGAAATGTAGTAACTATTATGGGATGGAGGTAGTTCTTCTCTCGCATAAGATAACGATTGACATTACATTTCCATTTTTGAAGATCAAAGTTGGCTGGAAAACAAGATTCCTGAAGTAAATTCCATAAACGAAAAGTTCTAGAGAAGAAACTATTAGCATAGAACTTACGGTTCCATCTAGCCAGTTAAACCGTAAAATCAGGAATCCTAGCTGCCAGTCTCGTACTGCGCTTAATTTCATAAAGTGGAAGTATAAAAGAGGGACGCTCATAAGACCGAGTGCCATGAAAGTCTTTATAGAAAAGGCACGGGGATGCTACGTTACGATGGTGGGAGAGTAATTGGAGCCGAGATGCCAAGTCAGGACCGATAACATTGTAGATTCTTTGGATTTTACCAAGAATCTCTAAATACATAGTCGAAGCAGTAGTCCTCATTGTATAATATATTTAAAATATAGATTCATGAATTTAAAAAATTCAGATTTGATTTAACTTCCCACTTTTCATATTGCCACGCCCTGTTTGCATATTTTTTTTTATATTTAAAGCTTGCTAAAAATCAATCAACTAAAGATGCTGGGGTTTCTACTCCGAACTATATGGATTTAGAAAAAAATATGGCTAACAAGCGCAACATAAATATATGTCACTCTGGTCTGCAAATTGTTCTAATTTGTTTAAACCTGATTCACGAAATAAAGAGAAACGACTAAAAGTTTAACGGATGCGACGTTCACGCATGGAAAGCTGGGTGATGAACTTGCCGAAACGTACTGACCGAAAGAATGAAGATACTTGATCAGGGAATAAATAAAAAGAATTGACTCTATTTTTTAAAACGACTTCATTTTGTGTGAGCGTGTATGCGCATGCGCAAAACCCAATATTTCTTTTTCTACTTTTCTTTATTAAATGTATGCATTTCATTCATGATTTATGCTCGTCCTTCATATGACGATAAAAACCATCTGGAAGCGAAGCCTCTAATAGGGAGTTATTGAGCAGCGTGGAAACAAATTGCTGTTGTTCCCATGTGCACCATGACCCGGGGTACTAGATCCCGTTAGGATACCAGGTATGGGCTAAGAGCTAACCATCAAACTGTGGTCAAAACACTAAAAGTATAAAAATGCAATTTGTAGTAAAAGTACCAGCAATATATTTTTGAAAAAAAATACCATCAATACATTTAAAAAAAAATATTATCAGCAATACATTCTTTGAAAATTTTTTTTACCAGCAGCGAATACATATTCTATTCATACGAATCGATCCTAAAAATCTTGCCGGCATTAGAAAACCCATTGAGGTGTTGATGTGCCGTAAAACAAAATAAACCAAATCAAACCAAACCAAAAAAAATGTGTGGAAATGTAACAATTATTATGGCGCAGAAGCAGTTAGTCTTTCGCATATAAGACCTCCATCTACGTTTGCTACGTTTAGAATATGAAATATGTGTGGAAATGTAGCAACTATTAAGGGATAGAGGTAGTTCTTCTCTCGCATAAGATAACGATTGACATTGCATTTCCATTTTTGAAGATCAAAGTTGGCTGGAAAACAAGATTCCTGAAGTAAGTTCCATAAGCGAAATGTTCAAGAGAAGAAACTATTAGCATAGAACTTACGGTTCCATCTAGCCACTTAAACCGTATAATCTAGGCAAGTCGTTTAGACATCTTAAAATTAGCAAAACATTTTCTATAAGAAATTATAACGAATAAATAAAAAAAGTGTTCACAGACATAACGTCGCAAGCCTTTACCGCTCTTTCATGGCAAATTTTCAAATGGGCCCCAATCTCTAGTTCCCCCATTTCTTATCTTTAGAGTTAGGAGACGCAATGCTACTTCTGCAAAGTCGAGGCTGCCTCATTTACCCCATATTCCAAAAGTAATGCCAGTGTTCTACACAGACATCATTTTACCAAGAAATGCTGCTGTGTGGAAGAGTTTCTCACAACTCTATTCCCCATTTTTATCTATCCTTCTTAGCTTCGTTAAACTTCACTTGCTTCCACCGCTTTCATTCATATGACATGACTAATTCATCATTAAAGTTTTAACAGTAATCCTCTAACTTGAGTGGCTCTAGAGCCTTGTACCGTGTGAATATTTCTATAAACGGTCAGTATTAATGCTACTAAGTCGTATTAATGACACCGTTATTGTTTGGCCAGCTGCTAAGAAGGTAATAAATATATAAAATTATATATGAAAAAATATAGTTTTAAAGTATGCTATATTTATAGGTTAAACTACCCAATATCAGGGATAGAGTGATAGCGTCTGTATAAATATAATAATCGACATTTGTATCTTTCTTATGCACAATAATCTGGTCATATATATATATATATATATATATATATATATATATATATATATATATATATATATATATATATATATGTATAAAATAAATAAATTTTGTATTTTTATAAATGTAAAAGCCTTAAATAAAATAAATCCGGGCACATTTTATGTATAAAGACACATACTATTAAAAATAATAATAAACTTAATTAATTCATATTCTAACAGAAATTAATGCATTTTTTTTTTTAATTCTAACTGGTGAAAAAAGTATTCGTACAAATCAATTATTAGAATAAAATAATCAATTAATTATGCAAAAAGTATATTCTAAAATGTTCCAATAATGTTATCAGCAATTATAGTTAACGCTATTAGCCATTATCAGAGCATTCTGCAATTTCTAGTCTTACGAGAAGGTTCTAATAATGCCTAAAGGTAAAGAATTGACTATTTCACAAAAACAACACATTTTGTCTCTTTGGAAAGATGGGAACAGTTACAGAACGATTTCTAACAACCTGAATATTCCTTTTACTACAATTGTTTCATTCATTGCAAGGTTTAAAGCTCATAACAGCGTCGAAAACCAAAGACGAACAGGTGCTCCGAGGAAGATTTCTCTAAGATCAGCAAGGATATTAGGACGCCAGATCCAACAAAATCTACAGGTTACCCGAGAAGAGCTGCAGAAACATCTGCGTGCATTAGGGATTAAAGTAACCAAGTGTACAATAAGTAATGAACTACACAAAAACAGTCTGAAATCACGCATCCCAAGGAAGACTCCATTTCTCTTGAAACGACACAGAGATGCTAGGCTAAAATTCGTTAGAGAGCATAAAGATAAAGAATATTAATTTTGGGAAAAAGTAATATGGACAGATGAAACTAAAATAGAGTTGTTTGGTCATACTTATTGAAATCATGTGTGGAGGAAGGACGGTGAAGCCTACTTACCAAAGAACACGTTGCCAACTGTAAGGTTTGGTGGTGGCAGTATCATGATCTGGGGCTGTTTTTCTGCAAAAGGTGTTGGCAGAATATCAATAATAGATGGCAAGATGAATGCCGAAAGATACCAGAAAATCCTGCAAGACAATTTAATGCGTTATGTTGAGAGACTTCGGCTACCTCCTGATTGGGTTTTCCAACTGGATAATGATCCTAAGCATACCGCTAGATCTACAAGGAAATGGTTAGCTGAAAGTAACGTTGATGTCTTGCAATGGCCAAGTCAGTCCCTAGACTTGAACCCAATCGAGAATTTATGGCGATATTTGAAAATTCAAATTGGGAAAAGAGCACCAACAAATATCAAGACAATATGCCAAGAATAATGGGACAAAATACCACTCAATGTATGCAAATCATAAGTTGAGACGTACAGGAATAGACTAGTAGCTGTTGAACTCAATAAAGGATATTCCACAAAGTATTAAGTTAATATGATTTTTTTGTTTTGTACGAATACTTTTTTCATCAGTTAAAATGAAAAAAATGCATTAATTTCTGTTAGAATAAGAATTAATTAAATTTATTACTATTTTTTTAATAAAATGTATCTTTAAACATAAAATGTTTCAAAATTTGTTTTAGTTAAGGCTGTATTTATAAAAATACAACTTTTCATGTGTACGGATATTTATTTCCCACCACTATATATATATATATATATATATATATATATATATATATATATATATATATATATATATATATATATATATATATATATATATATATATATATATATATATATATATATATATATATATATATATATATATATATATATATATATATATATATATATATATATATATATATATATATATATATATATATATAAATAAATATATATATTTGTTATATATATATATATAATATATATATTACATATATATATATAATATTTGCTATATATATTTGTTATATATTTGTTATATATATAACACCTAAAAGAATCAAATAACACACCTATATATAACACCTAAAAGAATCAAATAGAACACCTACAGTAAAATGGAAGTTTATAAGAAAAGCTAGAATATGTAGGTCATTAAATGACCCATGTCCTTTGTGCATACATGAGAAACTATATATTGCTGTGTTTATAAAAAATAAAAATTTACTGAATCAGAGAAATGTAATAGCTATTTTATGCCGTCATTGTCAAAAATTTTCCTTAAATAATATTTAAAAATAAAAATAAATTTAAAAAGTGCGACCTGGTAATATACATACTTATATTTTACATTAAAAAATAATTTTATATACTGTAATTAATTCTATTACATTTACTTGGTTTTTCTTTAAAAAAAATCGTCTATTAAAATAACAGTGAAAATAGTTGTATTTAAAATTGTAGTTAAAACGAATTCTAACCTAAACATCTTTTAAAATTGTAGTTAAATAAAACGTATTCTAACCTAAACACCTCTCAAAAAGTACTACCGGCACTCAAATGAATCCAATAAAACACCTACTGAAAAATGAAATTATGATGAAAAGCTAGATGTAGGCCATTGAACGACCCATGTCCTTTGTACATACATGTGAAACTATATATTACTAAGTTTATAAAAAAATAAAAAACAAAATAAATAAATAAATAAAGTTAACTAAATCAGAGAAATGAATTAGCTATTTTTGCCGTAAGTGTCATAAATTTTACTTAAATAATATTTAAATATAAAATTTTTAAAATCGTAATATACATACTTAGACTTGATATGGAAAAATAATTTTACTTACAGTAAGTAATTCTAATACATTTACTTCTTTTAAAAAGAAATATAGTCTATTAAAACTAACAGTGAAAATGTTTTAAAGTTGTATTTAAAATTGTAGTTAAATAAAAAGAATTCTAACCTAAACTTCTTTTAAAATTGTAATTAAATAAAACGTATTCTAACCTAAAGACCTCCCTCTTCGTACTACAAGCACTTAAAAGTATCCAATAAAAAACCTACAGTAAAATGAAATTAATATGAAATGCTAGAAGATGTAAGCTTTTGAATGACCCATGTCCTTTGTACTTACATGAGAAACAATATATTACAAGGTTTATATAAAAATTAAAAGTTTACTAAATCAGTGAAATTAGCTATTTTGCCGTCATTGTCATAAATTTTACTTAAATAGTATTTAAATATAATTAAAAACAAAATTGTTACCTAATAATATACATACACTTGATGTGAAAATAATTCCACATACTGTAAGGGATTCTAATACATTAAATTGTTCTTAAAATAAATATAGTATATTAAAAATAAAAAAAGGGAAAATATTTTTCAAATCGTATTTAAATAAAACGTATTCTATCCTAAACACCCACAAAAATCTTTAAATATACAAATAGAAAAAATGCCGTAAGAATTTTTGCCGTTGACAATAAAACTTTTAAAAATCCAGACGACATGCATTTAACGGATGTCAGATTTCATTGAAAAATACATCCCTGCCCCCTACCAAAACGTAACTAATAACTGATACATCAAAATATAGACATAATGAACACGCAAACACACCTTGTCTAGTGGAATTGGATTTCTCTGTATCCTTGGAAACGTGAATTATGATTTTTGTTGTGTCTTTAAAACCCAGTAATTTTAAAAGTTACTCCAAAATTCGCTTGAGGATGAAATGGAACTAATGTCTTTAATTTAATTACAAAATTAAATTTTGAGCTTTTAGCTTCCATTTTTGAAACATGGTTAGAACTGTGTAGCGAAAAAAAACATATTTTAAACCAATTAATTTATAATATATTTGTTATATATATATATATATATAACAAATATAAATATTTGTTATGTATATATATATATATGTTATATAAATATAAAAGTGAAGATTAAAGTCAACACTCAAAGGCGACAGGCTGTTTCATGCTAGACGTAATCATCAGTCCGCCTGATGATTGCGTCTAGCATGAAACAGCCTGTCGCCGCTAGGTGTTGACTTCAATGTTCACTTTTATATTTATATTTACATACGCCTCTATCTCTGATATTGAGCACTTTATCCCGTTAATATAGCACACCTATAAAACTTCATATTTATATATATATATATATATATATATATATATATATATATATATATATATATATTGACACTGAAACATTTAACATACCGGGTCACTTAACATTTATATTTTAATATTAACGCTCGATGCATTTAAATTTTCAACTTCGCCTATTTCATTTATGTTTTTCTAACTGCTTTCTTTTTTAATCGTTATTGTTTTTAACTAATGTGTTAATATTGTTTCCAGACGACAGACAATTCTTCTCAAGTTAGACACAAGGGGATCCTCAGGTTTTACTTACGCTCCCGGAGACCATGTCGGTATTTATCCCGTGAACCGACCCGATCAAGTTGAAACAGTTTTATCACGGTTGCACAATGCGCCACCAGCCGACCAGGTTGTTAAGCTTGAAGTTCTTCAAGAACGATCACCACCACTTGGTAAGCGTGAATATTTAAACACTGAATCATAGTGGGTAATTGAATTTCATTTTTGATTTCACATTTTGTCTTTTGATTATCCACTATTAGTCTAATACAAAAAAAAAATTATATTATATATTTCATATTGAATTGTAACACGTATAAAATTTCCATTTTTTTCTGATTGCATCGCACTCATACAAATTGCTTGTCTTTGTGCTATTGTGCACGAAAGAAAGAAAAAATGCTATATCATTTTTGAGGGGTACAGTTTAAATTTGATTGCGTATTATGTTAATTATAACTTTAAATTTCATTATAAAATTTATATATCCACAAGCACGCCTTAAAGCCGTTCAGCACGCAAACACTCCAAGTTAGTAATGGCCATAAATAATATCTTCCGCATTTCGAAATTTCTTTTACACCACTTCAATTTTACGAAATATTCCCTCGCTATCCGAAATGGCGTAAAACGAAGAAGCCACTGTTTTTGTATATGGACAAATTTTTTTTGATCGATCCCGGATCTATAAGCAACTTTAATGTCTGACTGCTTCGATGTCCATGGTCAATGTTTATTGACTCATTTGGAAGGCTGTATACATGACTGTTTAACCTCGTACAACTCTTTCGAAGCACTCAGAGGAGCTGCATTCGCTGGTTCCCAGACTTCATGAATTCAAGCGCCCTACGAGGCTGGCATCCCGCTCTCACCCTTACACTGTAGAAACTTTTAAATGTAGCCGTCTCTTCTACTCCAATAGCTTCATATCTTGCACCTCTCGTCCGTGGAACCCCCTTCCCTATTCCAGTTTCCCTGACAGCTATAATCTCCAACTATTCAAATGTAACGTCAATCGACATCTCCAGTTGCTTTGATCTATCCACTACCCTTCTCCTCATTCTTTCCTCTATCACTCCTATCTGATCTTGCTTCAAATCTTCTGTAACCCTATTGCGTCCTAGTGGCTTCCAGCCTTGCTTGGGGGAAACGCTTTAAAAAAAAACTCATAATATCCTGTAAATCTGTGCTAACACTATGCGCCTTTTCCAAATTAAACTCATAAATTTCTGCAATCATTGCAGTCCTCGAAATTTGAAAGAATAACCCAGGTAAAGCTTGTTTTTCAGTCTGAGAACACGCAAATGTGTTTCTATATATAAATAAACATATATTGATTATTCGGTTTACGTCCTTTCGGTTTATTAAAGGCTAAATGGAAGAACGTTCTACTTTCGGATAGTGGGAGAAAGTCTGTATTGTTTCCATTTTTATTAATGCGAAGTATTAATTACTAATTCCCATATATTACACGCAAATAGTCCAGTGAATTAAAGCAGTGGTTCATGAAATTGGTGGCATAGTTATTGTGAGTTCAATCCCCGGAATGGGAAGTACAGACTTAGACTCAATAGAAACATGACTAGCTATTACTAATTAGTACTAAATAAGAACAAGACAAGATATCCCTAAATACAGTCATCGGAATGCAATCAATCTACCTTTGTAGATGAAATAAAGGGATCATTTTGAAATCCCCTGCAGGTTACCCGGATCAAGAGACCCCTGAAGAAGGCCGGAGGGCACAATAACCGAAACGTTATAATAAAAACAACAACGATGAGGACGTTAGTACTAAAATAAATAATGCTAATTTTGAACTGAACACTTTATTTAATCTACGGGGGTAGTGGATTAAAGTGTTGGTTTCTGATTTTAGTGATATAGTAATTGTGTGTTCAATCCCTGTGTCAGGTAGTGCAGATTTAGACTCAGTGGAAACAAGGTGAACAATAACTGAGAAGTAATCAATATGAAAAGATGAGATATCTGGATACACAGGCGGTTGAACGAGAACAACTTATCTCCGTAGATTAAATAACAAGTTCAGTTTGTAAATCCTTGGTGGTTACCAGGCTCGGCAATCACCTGATAAAGATTGAAGGGCACAATGGCTGAAACACCGTGAAAATAGAAACAACGATAAGAACAATAGTGCAAAAAGTGTAAGTGCTGTCTCTCTCTATATATATATATCATTTTCACATAGATATATCTATTTATCTCTCTCTCTCTCTCTCTATATATATATATATATATATACGAGTAGGCCTGGGTACCCTACTTCTGTAATTTATCCCAAGAATCTTCTTCTCATAACAGGAAGAAGCCGGCTCAATGCGCCCAGGGTGAATGCCGCATCAGTACAGTACAGTAATATATATATATATATATATATATATATATATATAGAGAGAGAGAGAGAGATAAATAGATATAGATATGTGAAAAATGAGGTAAATAAAGAGATATGAGCAACCATATATACATGCGATTACGTATACATACAGCTGGTGCAGACAAAACAGTGCTCAATGTAATTAAACAGAGTTATATAGTATGTAATTCTCAGTACCTGATGAATGGGAAAGGTATTTGTACTGCAAACGTTTCATTAAATAATGTAGACATACTTGTTCTACTTATTTTTATTCCGATTCTTTCCATTTGTCTAAGTAAATCGGTTTCTTGGTGTGAGGATGAAATTCACCAAGAGAAGCGCTTTAGTTTTCGTTAACCCAAATTATAAAGGCATTATTTAACTGCGATAGTTGGGTAATGAAATATGTAAGTTTAAATTCATTTTTTCATCCGTGGAAGTGAGGTCTGATGATCCAGAAAAAAGAAAATCTCAAATTATAACAATGGAATCTTAAAGTGGTTTGGGTTTTCTTTATATATATATATATATATATATATATATATATATATATATATATATATATATATATATATATATATGGGTTTATTGCCCTGTAAATGAGGCGGCCCCAAAAGGGAAATGACGAGGACACTTGGGCAATTTTTCCATGCTATTGTCGTTAACCCCACTTAACCTGACTTTGTGTCACATTCGGTAGCGACGTGGACGTACTGAAAAAATACCCTCGGTTGCGAATATCCTGTGCTGAACAGCAGAGGGATTCGCTTCTCTGCTAATAATATCCCCCAAGGTAGTAGTGCCAAGACATTTTGAGAAAATTTCTGCGATATTGTCGCTAAACCCACTTTAAAGTCCACCTTGTGTCACATTCAGCAGCGAAGTGGGCGCACTGAAAAATCCCGTTGTCGATATGCGAGATAAACAACAGGCGCTGAATTGATAAAAGACGAAGGAAATCTCACTTCATAACGCAACCCCTGAAGATTAAAGAAAAAGGTTCAATTCAAAATTCCCTGAAGGTTACTGAGATCGACAGATACCTGAAGAAGGTTGGGACGTTGTGATAACATCAACAAAGATAATGACATAAGACTGAAAGTAAATAATAACTCCGCATCCTAGAAATTATTAAGTATTTATACTGTGCTGTTCGATAAAAGTGACTCCCCTTATCCTTTGAATTTAGCTCAACTTTCGTTTCATCGGAGAAGAGAACATTCTTCCAGTCTTCTACGGTGAAATTTTTGTAATAGTGAGCCCATTCAAGTCTCTTGGCTTTGTTGGCTTTGCTTATTAGCGGCTTAAACCTTCGTGTACAAGATTTGTAGCCTTGTTCTAACAAAATTTGTAACCTTGTTCTGACGGAGTGTTGAATAGGCAAGACTAACACCTTGCTCTTCGCTTAGACTGGCTGTAATTTCTTGGTTAGTTATAGTCCTATTTTTCGCAACTTCTCTCTTGATTACTTTGCCAGTTCTATCATCAATCTTTTTCTATCGTCCACTTGTTTCCTTCCTTGGAGCAGGAGTGGCATCATTATGTGCCCTAACCACTCGAGAGACAGTTGATTGCGAGGTTATAGCAATTTCTGCAATTTTTCTCGTAGACTTGCCTGCTTTTGAGAGGGCAATAACAGATGCCTTAAGTGGTTCTGATGCGTGTTTGTACCCTTTCATCTGGTTAGTGACTTGAGTGGCTATTTCAAGCTGTTTTTATACTGTATGAGGCTTTCTGGAATATTCTGGAATACTCTAGATTTAATTTAAGCTGTTCTAGAATTCTCTGGAATATTGTTCTGAGTGTATTGTAAAATAGTTTTCAATATTTTGTCAAAAGTTCTTTAAATTTACCAGTTTAATCATTAGAATGCGATATCTGAGTCACTTTTTTGCACTTTTTTTTCGTGAATCTCATTTATATCCAAATTTATAATTATCAATAGAATACCTTAGGGTGAATAATTTTTTTTTCCTAGGTGGTTGGGAAGGGGTCTTTATATTAGTAAGATTTATCGAACAGCACTGTATATATATGTATGAATTCTTGCTGCATAAATAAAGCTTATATTTACACATATACATGCACATACATATATACACACATACACACACATACGCATATATATATATATATATATATATATATATATATATATATATATATATATATCCTGAAGATTTCGTTTAATCATGAAACAGACCTTCTTGACCCCAGTTGCCATTCTTAAATATACACACACACGTTTGTGTGTGTGTGTGTGTGTGTGTGTGTGTGTGTGTGTGTGTGTGTGTGTGTGTGTGTGAAAGAGACACACAAGGAAAAATATAATTAACCGACTCAATTGGTCTCCTGAGGGACATTATCATGGTAATCAAGTCACTCAGAGAACGAAACGCGTCGGATAAGTATAGTTCTTCCTTTTGTCTCTTCTACAAATACACACCATATATATATATATATATATATATATATATATATATATATATATATATATATATATATATATATATATATATATTCTCATATATATAAATATGTATATCATGTCATTTTTTGGTTGTTGGTTGGTTAGCGTCTTCGAGCGGTATTCGTGCACGGCTAAGATTCAAGATTTTGAATGTTACTTTTTAAATATAAAAGATGAATCTTGCGTTACAATGAGCTGATAAGGACCAGTTCTTTTACTTATTATTGACTTTTGGTTCCTCAATTCCTGCTCTCTTATTGTTATCACTTTATAATGTTTTGGGCTAAAAATGGTTAAAAAATAGTTTGTTGAGTATGGCACAA